TGTGGCCAGCTCCTCCTCCTCCTCCTCCTCTCCTCCTCTCCTCCTCCTCCTCCTCCTCCTCTCCTCCTCCTCCCCCCCCCTCCCTCCTCCTCCTCCTCAACCTCACGCTCCTCCTCTCTCCTCCTCCTCCTCCTCCTCCTCCTCCTCCTCCCTCCTCATCCTCCTCCTCCTCCTCCTCCTATCCTCTCCTCCTCTCCTCCTCCTCTCCTCCCTCCCTCCTCCTCCTCCTCCTCCTCCTCCTCCTCCTCCTCCCTCCTCCTCCTCCTCCTCCTCCTCCTCCTCCTCCTCCTCCTCCTCCTCATGGTTTTCCTCCTCCTCCTCCTCCTCCTCCTCCTCCTCCTCCTACTCCTCCTCACCCTCCTCTTCCTCCTCATTGCTTGTATCTGGCCTCGGCTCAATGGGGCCCTCGAGAGCCCCTGCGAGCCGCGGCGCCCACCTCACGAGAGGTCCTCTCTAATTAGTGCCTCCGCTGGTGGGCCCGGGGATTCTTCCCCGCGGCACCTGGGCGGCCGCGCGGCACGCGCCTATTTGGGGGGTAGCTCTGGTGAGATGAGGCCGCCGTCGCCAAGTAAGCGTTTCCCCATATGGGGCGCATAGGGGCATACTACGGTGGGGAGCATTGAATAAGGAACGCTTAGACAAGGAATCCAGGGTCTGGAGGCCGGTGGAACTCCGATCGAGGCTCGACCATAGATATCGCCGCCGCCCTCATCTGATAAGGAGTCATCCAGGGTCTGCAGCATCCTGGGAGCATTCCTTAACCAACGCCCCCACCGTAATGCTATATGTCCTCCTTGGAGGCGCGCGTCCGACCCGAACACATAGTATACCTATCCTGTAGTAGATCGTTTCCCGAGTGGTGCGGACAGAAAACGCCCGCCACGGCGCATAGGCTATAAGAGTTCTCTGTGTGCCCGTCGCCCCCGTGGGTGGGCGACGCAACCATAGTGCTAAAATGCTGGGGTGACGCCGACAATACGCGTGCCCGGAGGCTCTCCAGAGCTACCTCGAGAGGCCTTTGGATAGCCCTCTGGAGCACCGCTGTCCCGACTGTGGACTGCGCAAGCTCCTCCTGCTTGGCGTGAGGTCCCCGTGGCACTGTGCAGCCGAGCGGAACCCGTCTGGGGAGGGGGGGCGTCTCTGGTGAGATGAGACCCCAGACCCGCCCGCATCGGGTCACGAAAAAACCTCGACGGAAGGTTTACTTTCGGCCTCTGGGGGCCCTTACCGGGCCTCGGGACCGGGAACCAAAAACGACTCGGGAGGGGAAGACCGGCCCCAGGGAGCGGGTTCGGACCCCCCCCGGGAGTGGGTCCGGACCTCTGAGAGTCGCGTCAAGAAAGAATCATGACGTCGAGGGTCTTAGGATTGCAAAACAACCTCGGATTGCAACCCTTCGGTTTTTGTTTGCAATCCTTCGGGTTCTTGTTGCAATCCTTCGGTTTTCTTTTGCAATCCTAGGTTTTTTGTTTTGCAATCCTTCGTTTTTTTGCAATCCTTCGTTTTGTTTGCAATCCTTCGTTTTTTTGCAATCCTTCGGCCCGCCATCGCCATGGAGTCGACCCCACCTCAAAACTGGCCGGGCCGTGCTCCCCTCGATCGGATCGCGACGGGCCCCCGGTCTGAGCAGGGAGACCGACCCTCCCGGCATTCCTGAAGGGGCCCTGGGACACACAAATAAAGACACACAAATCAAAAGAATCCCCATATTTCCTTATATTTTCTGGATTTTGTCTTCCCCCCCACTTCCCATATTTTCTTATATTTTCCAGGGAATCGACGATGAATTGCGTCTGTGTGTTTCTTCCCCTCCTGAATTCCTACAGGCCTGCCACGGCATGTTCTCAGACCCAGAGAGCGCTCTAAGAACAGGTGCAGTGCTCTTAGCACAGAAGCCCGATGCAGATGAAAACAGCAAAAGGCCGCCGCCAGAAAGGTTTCGCACAACACCGCAGGAGGCTCGTAGAACACTACCTGGCGGGCCATGTGGGCAAGCCAGGACGCTCCGCCACTGCCCCCTCTGGGGAATTCAAAAAAGGTACCGATACCGCTACTCCAGGGACCTCTCCCGGGGTGCGCTCTCACCAGAAGTTCGAGGCGAGTCCGACGGTGGCGGCTAGGGCCTCCGAGGAGGCCCAGAAAGGGGGAGACGAGGAAAGGATAGAGGTATGGGTACCTCTTCCTCCTCTGATCATCGGGGGGGGGGCGGGGCGGGGAGGCCGCCTGGAAAGCCGGCGGGCGAGAGGCCAGCGGACTGCATGTGCACGTCCAGCCAGGCGCGCACGTGCGTCTTGGCGCGCCGCAGCGCCTTGGGAGGGGGGGAGCGGGGGGCGGCCCCGCACGCCCGGGGCGCGGGGAGGCGCTCCTCCTCCTCCTCCTCCTCCTCCTCCTCCTCCTCCTCCTCCTCCTCCTCCTCCTCCTCCTCCTCCTCCTCCTCCTCCTCCTCCTCCCCATGCACTTCGCATGACCAGGTCACACGGATGCACGGTACTCCGAGTTGCTTAATAAGCGTCGGGGGGCGTCACCCCCGCCGTCAGCTCCACATCGACCCCCGTCGCGGGCGGCCACCGCGCGCCGAAGGCGCTCCGACCCCCGTCGCGGCGCGACGACGAGGCGAGGCTGACCCCCGTGGGGGGGGTACCCCCCCAACGCTAAAAAAGAAACCCAGAGTACACGTGGATCCGCATCTGGAACACGTGGCCGAGTCCAGAAATTCGGCTTCAAAGAAGCAAGACAAAGACAGGACAGAGATAACTCGGGTGATGATAAATCGAGAAACTCAGAAATCCGGCGGCTCCGGAGGATGTAATTATCGTGCGCCGCGGCATTCTCGGAGCATTCCAAAACGCTCTGAGAGCGTTCCGGAACGCTCTGAAACGGATTTATCCTCGTCAGAGCATTAGGTCGGGCGTGTCCTCCTACAGGCGGATTTTGAACGACAAATAAGACATGCTCCAAACATGCCCCAAAAAGACTCCAACAGAGCACTAAACATCGTCCCCAGACTGTTGCTTGCTTATTCTTGAACGTGCCTCCTGCAGAGGGACATGCCCGACTTACTCCTAGCCCCGTCAGTAGCAGTTATACCTGCCTGGAACATATCCCTATCCCTATGCTGGGCATCCTCTCATCACGAGGCCGATCGTAGGGATTCCCTCAGCTTCTGAGGGCGCATCCCTAAGATTGTCCTCGCCTTTGGGCATGTCAATCTTAGAGATAGGGATCAGTTTCCAGACCCCCGAAGTCATGATTTTTTCAAGACGCGACCCCCAGAGGTCCCGACCCCTTCCCCGGGACCGGCTCTTCATCCTGAGTCGTTTTTTGACGGTCCCGAGGCCCGGCGTGGGCCCCTGGAGGCCGAAAAGAGCGAAGAACCTCCCGTCGTGATTTTTGTCATGACCCGAGGGGGTCTGGGTTCGAGGCTGGTGGCAGCTGACAACTCTCGGGAGCGCAGCTCCTACCCCCGCTGGGCCTCCGCCGGCGGCCTCCGCCGGCGGGGCGGCCCTGTCGTCCTCTACCTCCGCCGCCTCCTCCGCTGGCCCTCCGCCGCCCTCCGCCGAGGAGGAGGCGTCGACTTCTCGACCTCTCGAAGGCGAGCGCGTTTTTTTTTATTACTCGGCGCTTCGACCTTGGGCGGCAGGCGGGGGGAGCAGGGGGGGTCTGGCTCCGGACCTCTGCTTGGCGCGACTGTGTGGGACCGCTGGCCCTCCGCCGCCCTGCGCCAACCTCTCGAGCTCTCGAAGGCGAGCGCTTTTTTATTCGGCGTGTCGACATTGGGCGGAAAGCGGGGGGAGCGGGGGGGGTCTGGCTCCAGACCTCTGCTTGGCGCGACTGTTGGGGACCGCGCGTCCTTTGGGGGAGGCTCCACCTGCTCGATGCAGGCGCCAAAAACAGCAAAGATCCACCCCATGGGGAGGAGGGGGGGGGTGCGAGGGCCCGCGCCGATCGGCAAAACAATTCATCAAAAAACGTTCACCAATCTCTCGGAGGCGAGACCCTGTCTGGAACGCCCCACGTGGACGCCGAGCGCTGGATTCGTAGACACATGCGGAAGGCCATCGCACGTCCACGCCGCCGACGCAGGATCCCCAGCTCTTCCTCCCAGGCAGGCCACGTCGCGTGCATTTACCCTGCCTCCTGGTGCAGCCAGCAGCGACGCGAATGTGGTGCAGCCCTGCGGAAGCACTGCATGCTCACCGTCGTGGTTGCCCGTGGCCACCCCCGAGCGTCAGAACCCTCTGCAACCTCTGACGCTCAAGGGCGGGAGTGGTCACTTAACAGAAAGGTCGGGGACGGTGGGGTCAGCAGAGGGGAGCTAGCGAGTCAGCTCGCGTGGCTTGTTGTCCTAGCGTCTTCCCGCGCGGGATGCGGCCACGTGTCGAGAACAGCGCCAGGCGGCGGGGGTCGAAATCGGCTGCATGCAGCAGACTTCTTGGCTCTTCATTTGAAAATACACCCCCTGCGTCCGACCCTAAGACGGGTGGAAATCCAACCACCCTCACCCCTTGACCCCGATCCACTCAGCCACTTCTGAGGACATTGGGGTGGGGGTGTAAGACGAAGCTAGGACGTGGTCAAACTCGGACGAAGCTGAATCGGGAATTTCTGAAATCTGGCAGCTCTCGCAGGTGTCTCGGGCGCCACGGACTTCTCAGAGCGATCCGGAACGCTCCGAGAGCGTTTCGGAACGCTCTGGCACGGAATTTCCCTCGTCCTACACCACCCTCGAGATCAAACGCACATTTGTGTTACAACCCCTCGCCCCCGATCTTCAACGTTGACGGGCGCGCGTGGCGCGGCCCGCGGGAGGGACAAAACAAACTGCAGTCGCCAATTTCGGCATCAGCATTGATCTTGGGGCCTGGGGGCGTCGCCGCGTCGTTCGAAGACAAGAAAACTGCGTTTGACTTCGACGGGGGATGTGGCCCCGTCCGAAAGGAGGCCATGTAGCCCACGAGATTGGGGGGGTGGAGGGGGACGGGGCGCCGCGCAGGGACTCTTCTTCCTTTTGTTCGTCCGAGGGCTCCCGTGTCAAAAGCAGCGAGAAGCCGCCGGGCGAAGGCCAGAAAACTGGGGGAGGCACCGCGCGCCGCCACGCGAGAGTCGCGGGAGGAAGGGGCACGCATCCGTGGACCAAGCCGAAGACGCCACGCAGAAAGAGGCCAGCACCGGCCCCGACATCGGAATCACTGAGGACATTCTCGTCGTGAACTGCAGCTCGACGGGATGATAAGGATGCGCGGTAAGGGTGCAAGGCCGTTGGGTACCCAGACCGACACCGACGTTGCAAGCCCAGGGCCCGTGACTGCACGGGCGGATGCAAGGATACCCTTGGCTGACTCCTCTTTTTAACGCCTGGCCCACGGCCAGAGGAGGAGGAAGAGGACAAGGAGGAGGAGGAGGAACTATAATTGCGGGTGGCTGTGGTGAAAGAGAAGAGAGATTGCGGCAATGGTAACATGAGAGATTAAAAACGGCGGCCCTTTCCATTTTCTAACATCTTGCAGTGCGCGGGCCAGCTTTGGGCCACACGGCAGCGGACCCCTCCTGTTCGGGTCGGGGCCGCCGGGCAAGACAGAGTGTCCCTCCGCAGCACATCGGCTACAGAGGGCCGCCCGCAATGAGGTGCTGGAGCATTCACCGCGAGGCCTCAGCAGCGGACACTCGGCGCAACTCACCCATGGATCAGGAGACTCAGCCCGAACGGAATACTGTAAACCCTGGTAGCCCTGCTGGCTCGCTTGTGGCCAACCCGCACGCGCGATGAGCTGAGCTGACCCTGACCAGGTTTGTGGATCGTAGAGACTCCCACCGCTGGGAGAGCCAGAGGGCAAGCTCTTTACCCAGTGCAACCGGCCGATGCTGCTTCGCAGCTGGGAGCGTTTGCTCGTGGGGGCTCAGCACAAGTCGTGCTAGGCGTGCGCTCGAGCCACAGCACCGATCGCGCCTTCCAGCCAGATTCGCTCCCTGGCTCGATGTCCGGCACAATGCTGGCGTGGCCGCTCGCCGTCGGCACTCTTTGGTGAGTAGGTGCTCGCAGGCGTAGCTGGCCGTTGCGTCCTTGTTTCGTGCGCGCGCCACTGCAGCTCGCCCAGCTGTTTGCGGCAGTGGGCCTCTAGTTGCTAGCCCTTACTAATTTCAGCTGTTGACTGGTTCGCGCGTTGGTCCAGTAACTGCCGAGCGGACCCGACGCGGCGCGTGTTGCCTGGATGCGGCCAAAAGCAGCGCAGTGTCGCAGGCGCCTCCCTCGGCTGTTCGTAGCTGCAAAATTGCCGATAACGCAGCGTGGCCAACCTGCCGGAAGACCACGATGCACGCAAGCTTGTCTGTAAGGAAGCGTGGCCGGTGATGGAGTACTGACCTTTGTGGCGGCGTGCTGTCACGCCGACGCATTGCAGCACCGGCGGTGCTGAGGTGCCAAAGCCGGGCACGCGAGCATAACGTCCGCCGAGTACCTGGCGCGTTGCGCCCACCTGAACTTCGCGAAGAAGACCTTCACGTTGTTGCCCTCGTGGCGCCAATCTCCTGCGAGACCAAATCAACCCTTGCAGTTGACGGGGGGGGCTGACCGGCCACTGATGGCATGAAACGGCATCTCGATGGCGCCCGTTTCGAACGATATCTGCGATGAGCGCGTCGTCGGGTCATCCTCGCGGTGCTCGGCGCAGCTCGGTCGCCCAGCGCCGTGCCGCCGGCACATCGGACTCGAACATGCCCAAGCCCATCGGCACGTGGCGGCGGCTGTCAAGACGCACGTGCAATTCTGCTGCACAGCGCGTTCAGGTGGACAGGGATGGCGCTGTGCCAAGTGAAGCACAAGCACATCCCGTCGATTCCTTGCAGGCGCGGCGGGTCGCGCTGCTAGCAGCCGCGCGAGGGGAGCTGGTTCGGCCAGCTGCGATTGCCCAAGAAATTGGACCGCATGCAGCCATGACGACTGCATGGTTCTGCGTGTCGCTGTCAGGCTAACGACGGTAAGCCCGGTGGCTGATGTCACATGTTTAGCGACTCTGGGCGCGACCTCGACGGCAGTTCCCTGGGACAGGCACTCTTGCGCGCGTCGACGCGCTCGCATGCAACTGTCCGTGCAAGCGCGCCGTCTTGATGCGGCGCAGACAGCGCGCTGGCGCACGTCGGGCAGCGCAGCGCTGCCCCCGAGTCGCCGCTCACAATGGGCGGCGATAGCACCAGACCGCTGTCGGCGAGGAAGTGCCCACTCCAGTGCAGGATGACCTCCAAGGCCCGGCGCTACTGCGCATTTGAGCTGCGCTGGCGTGCCAGACCCTTTCTCGGCAGAGTCAAAGATCTCCGGCTCCAGCTTCGCGCAGGCGTCCGCAACGCGGCCCCCCCCTTCACGAAGGGGGCCTCGTCGGCCTTCGACGACCATGATCTCGTCCGCGGCCTCTTGGAGACCAGCAACTTGGGAAGTCTGCAACGGCATGGAGTCCTTAACGGCGCTGATCACGACGGGCTTCACAAGGTAGATCTTGCCCGCTTTCGGAGGGGTCAGCTCAGAAGTCTGCCAGACGTCGTGCATCGAGGAATGCGTCTTGTTCAGCTCGTTGTTATACTTGCTGATGCTCGCCATGAAACTGGACCTTTGGGCGCAGGCGTCGGTGACGGTCGCCTTCGCATGGCTCGAGGCATTCATCTTCAGCGGGATCGCCCGGGCGCGCATGCCCTCGGTGGTAGGCGGGAAGGCTCGCCCCAGCTCCCCGGGCATCACGACGTTGAGATCCTTGACAACATCCCCCTCGCCCGACTGCACCGCCCGTGCGCGGGAGCCTCGTGGAGGCAGCGCTCCACGAGACGAGAGGGAGCTAGAGGAGGAGCGAGAGCTCCACGACGGGGGGGCCCGAGGAACCTGAACTCCAGCACCTACCACTTTGGTAGAGCGCGCCGCGAAGCCTGCGACGCCGCGCACCTGCAATGCGCAGGCGTGCTCCCCATCAGCAGGTCCTGAGTCATAGGACAATTGCCCCGGTCGCTTGTCAATCGCAATCAACATCGCTCCTGCGTTGAATAACTGAAAGGGCGGCATGCCCGAGGTGAAACTGACAAGTGGTCGTTGCCAAGGCCGCGCACGGTGTAGGACGTAGTCTGGGCCACCTCCTTGCTCCTTGAGGAAGTTTGTGCAGGAAGGTTTCCAGGCAGCACGCGGAACGACAGCAGCAGGTGCCAGCGACATGCGTGGACGCTTCCTCCTGGAAGAGCGCTGGCGTAGGTGGTAGCGACGTCCCCGCCGAACTCCGCGTCGATGAAGAACCAGGAGAAGACGAAATACGGCAGCTCGGAGTTGCCAAACTCGTCCGAGAGGCGGATGAGACGAAGGACCCAAATGAAGAATGGTCATGGGGTAGCCGACGTGCTGGCTGCATCCGGACGTAATTGCTACAGCCCTCGCCGGATGCGTGTTTGGCCGGCTGCGGTCCACAGTCGGGACAATAATACGCACTGGCGACATCAACTTGGTGATAGATATCTTGTTAACCGTGAGCGCCACGATGGATATCCCCTCGATATGACTCCACCACGATGTGACCTGCGCAAGCGCCTGGGGCTCGGGTTCGCGCAACGACGAACGTCATGTTGAAGCAGGTAGCAGCCGTAATTAGTAGAGCCGGTACCCTTCACTGGTGCCAAGGGTGCTGAAATAAGTGCATGAACGTTCCGTGCTTCACTCGAATGGCGCGACGCGCTCGCAAAGACAGCCAGCAATGTCGCAGTCATGCCTCGCGGAGCCTCGCAGTCATGCCCGACGCAAAAGCTGCGGCCACTGTTTGCGGGGTGCAATGGGTCGGGAAACGTCGTGGCGCTCCCGTGGGCGAGTCCTTCCACATCGCCTTATATATAGCCTGCACCAGCCGATGCCCTGCGCAGCTGGGCTCTCGCACGTCTCGCACGGTCCAGCGTTTGCCACATCGTAGCCTGCGAACGTCCAAAGCGAACTGCCAACCAGCTTGCAGAACAGCCAAAAGCACAAGCTGTTCGGGGGACGGAAGGTGCGAGCGTTGAAGAGATTGGTGGGAGTGCGAATGTGCGTCCGGATTGCACTATGCGCGGCCCCGTGGATCGCGAGCTGGGATCGCTCCCAACTCCGCTACCAAATAGAATTGCGGGTGGCCGTGGCGAATGGTAACAAACATGGCGATGAGAGATAGCAGAGCGGCGGTCGTTTTCGCTTTCAGCATCATACAGGACGCGGGCCCGTTGTGAACGAAAAGGCAGCGGACTCTCCTACTCCACTGAGGAGAAGGGGAAGGATGAGGAGGAGGAGGAGAAACAAGAGGAGGAGGACGACGAGCAGGAGGAGGAGGAGGAGGAGGGGAGAAGGAGGAGGAGAAAAAGGGCAAAAATGTCGAGGATGGGTGCGGTCACGGGACCAAGCCCCATCGTCACGCGGGATTCTCGAGCGGGATCGACCCGTGAGGGGCCCAAGGGCCCGAAGCGGGTGGCAAAGCGCCCACCGTGATCTCTTCACGGCTCCCTTATGTCAGGGGGGGAGGCAGGCCGAGACGTCCGACATCAGTCGTTGTTTGTTTCACGACGTTGCACCCAGAGGTCTCGACCCTATCCCGGGGGCCCGAAAACCGCTTCCAGACGCCTGAATATTGGAAACAACGTCCGTCGCGATGTTTTATTGAAGCCTGGAGGTCTTGGGGGAGCAGGGGAAGGAGGGGAATCGGGAGCGGATCACCAACAGAATCCTGGGCCCCTCCTGCAGCGCGGGATGACCAGGATTCCGAGACTGATCCAGCGATGGCGACGAGGGGCCCACAGAAGAGGCCACGATAAGCCCAACATGTCGGGATCCCTTCCTCCTCTCCCCTCCTCTCCTCGGAGAGAGAGGAGGACGACAGCAGGAGAAATGGGGGGTGGGGGGGGGGTGCGCGTGCGAGAGGCCCGGCGCGAGAGCCGTCCCCGGGCGTCCCGATCACTGGGCGGCTACTTCTTCGAGACGTCCCTGCCGAAGATCACGGGGATGAGCCCGAAGCCGACGATGGGCCCGATGAGGATGGTCACGAGCGCCCCCAGCCTCAGGATGGTGTCGAGGGGGTCCAGCCCTTTGGCGGCGTGCGCGGCCGAAGGCACCGCCGCCACGGCTGCGCCCAGCGCCGCCGCCGCTGGGCTCGCGCCCGCCCCGCGCAGGGCCCCGGACGCCAGCGGCGCGGGCACGAAGCTGGTCGCCGCCATGGCCACCAGGCCGGCGGCCGCGCACAGGACGGCCAGGGTGAGGACCCCGGAGCGCACGGCCATGGCCTTCCGTGCAGCCCCTCCTCTCCCTCTCCAACTCCTCCTCCTCCTCCTCCTCCTCCTCCTCCTCCTCCTCCTCCTCCTCCTCCTCCTCCTCCTCCTCCTCCGGCTACAACTGCTACTACGACTCAGAATATACATTTTGCATTGCCGACAGATTCCAATTTGCTTCTCAGGATCTTACGAGGAACCTCTGGAGAGGCTCTGCCGAGTCTCTGAGTAGCCTCGGGACAGCCTCTAAGAAGCGTCTGATGAGCTTTTGGGTTCTGGTCCGCTGAAGAGCTTCTGAGAAGCCTCCGGGGGGCTTCTGAGGGGCCCCGGATGAGCTTCCGAGGATCCACTGAGAAGCCTCGGAAACGCTTCTGTGAAGTTTTTGAACACACGGAGCTGAAGAGATTCCGTCGAGCTTCTGACAAGCCTCTGAAGACCCCCTGCGATGCCTCTGAAAAGCATCTGAACTTCTGAAGAGCCTCGAAGTAATTGGGAAGCCTGAAGAGCCGCCAAAGAGCCCCAAATGGTCATGATGCATAACATGCTGAATCATGTCCTGACAGGCCTCGAAATTCTGGTGGAACCATGTGGGCGCCTGAGGCATCATGAGAGGTATTGAGGCTCTGGGGTTTTGAGAATCTGGAAGTGCGTTGCGGTTCAATTCGTGCAAATTGCAATCAGAACGGCCAAAGTGTCGGACCGTCGGTGACCGGGCGCATCGTCACCGCTTTTGTCAATTGCCATTGGAAACCTTGGAAAAGAACCCACTCGTTCCAGAAGCGCTCTTGGGACCCTTCTCGAGATCAAAGCAATATCAAGGCGGCCCAAGAACATCGCCACCACGCCGGCCCGATCGCAGCTGCTTGTGGTCGGCCCCGAATGGTCGGAGTGGTGCCGGTCGGCCCTCCGAGAGGGCCACGAGCCTCTCCGACGGGCCGTGGCCCCCTCCGAGAGGCTCCGGGGAGGGCCCCCGGCCGGAGGCGGGAGTGCGTCCTATGGGAGGCGCCCTGCCTTCTCGGATAGGGCCGCATGCCCCGCCCCCCCGGTTCTGCCCGGCCGGGCCTGGTCGGGCAGGCGCTGCCTGAGCTGGCGGGGGGGGGTCCTCGCTTGCCGGGGCGTCCCGGGCACCAGGTGTCAAAACGTCTCGGGCCAAAGCAGCGATCAACGACGAGAGGGGGGGGGAGGAAGCGGAGGAGGGGGAGGAGGCGCAGGAGGAGGAGGAGGAGGAGGAAGAGGAGGAGGAGGAGGAGGGATGAGAAGGCTCGGGCGCCCACTCGGAACGGCCAGATGCAGGACTCCCCAGATCACTGGCATCGACGGAAATACTGAGGTATGCTTTCCTTGCCAATGAGTTCTGGGCTGCTTTTTGCGTGGCGCTCTGGTCTCGTGGGCAGCCCAACGTGGCCCGTAGAAACGCCTAAACAAAGCATTCCGCCACCACTTCATCTTTCAGGTAGTGGTGGCGCTGATCCTCTACCCTCTGACAGCATGGCAAAAGTACAATCCGACAAGCACCTGCATACCCACACGGGAGCACGCAACGCCTCCAGCGTTGGAATCACTACTGCTCCAGATAGGCAAGCGCCAGATGGCATCAAATAATCGTCAGTGAAGCTCTTGAAGGGCTTTGACTCATTCTTTATATGCGCTCGCATCGTGGAAATCCGGGGTTCGCCTTATTTTGCTCCCATCGTACTCAAGGACCACATCCCAGAAATTCGCCGGCCCAACGGGCCAGGGCGTGCTAAGATCTCCGGTAACTGGTTAACAGTATTAACAGTATTTCTAGTTCGCGCGCGCGGGGCGGCCCCTGGGGGTCCCCCGGCGAAAAGTACCCCGACCAACGCCCGGTCGCCGCCCGACCAAGTCTACTCAGAGATGGTTTTCCTTCTGGGTGCGGCCTCTCAGGCTCCCCAGAGCGCGCTCAGAGTGCCCCAAGAGGCCCCCAAGACTGCCCAAGAGGCCCCCGAGACGCCCAAAGAGCGCTCGAAGACGCCGAAGATGACCCCAAGACGGCCCAAAAGGCCCCCAAGACAGCCCAAGAGGCCTCCAAGACGCCCCAAGAGCCTTCCAAGAGGCCTCCGAAGAGAGCCCCAAGAGGCCAAAATCGTTGATTTTCATTGGTTTTTTCTATGTTTTTTGTGTTCTGGCTTTTTCGGCTTCCGGACGCTCCAAGACGGCCCAAGAGGCCCCCAAGACCGCTCCAAGACGGCCCACGAAGCTCCCAAGACGGCGCCGAAACGACCCAAGAGAGCCCTCAAGACGGCCCAAGTGCCGCCCAAGACGGACCAAGAGGCCCCAAGACGGGCCCAAGAGGGACTCAGGAGGGATACCGAGAACTCAAAAATGGAGCCCTCCGTCCCAGAAGGCGCCCAGGAGGTCCCAAAGAGGCCCCAAGAGGCCTCCAAGAGGCCCCAAGATGTCGCCAAGAGGCCCCAGGAGACTCCCAGGAGGCCCAAAAGAAGCCCCAGAAGGCTTCAAACATGTCTCCCAGGCGCCCCCGAACGGCCTCTCAACAGACCCCAAGAGGCCCCCCAAAGAAGCATCTTGACGACGACTCTATTTCGCCCCATCGAGAGACGACCCCCAGGGAACTGCTTCACCATCAAAACTCCCCACGCAACGCGTCCGAACGACACCCGCCCCCAAGAGCGCAACATGGGCAACGAACGCACAGACAAAAACCAGCGATGCCATATCACGGGCCGGCGGAATGAGCGAAGCGATTCAATAAATTCGAGCACCCAGAAAAGTGTCGAAACAATGTCGAACGAGTATCGCCTCCCAGGGCCCGACACGTTAAACTGTTCCGACCTGAGCAGGTCGTTAAACTGTTCCGACAGGTCGTTATCAAACTGCTCCGACCTGAGCAGGTCGTTAAACTGCTCCGACCCTCAAATTTCGGTACTGTCTTGGTGCTCGAAATTCTTTCTGGTGGTCAAGGCTAAAGTAGGTTGGAGCGTCGTAAGGTGCGCCGCCACTGGCCATCATTCATCGGGGCGTCTACGGCTGTATCCGCCGCCCTCCGCCAGGCCGCCAGGCTTCTAACGGCTCTTCCGTTGGAGCCCTTCGTTCTCTCTCCGCCCGCTACAACCATTGCTTGTTATATGTTCGCTTGTGCTACTCCAGATTTCGTAATAAAGGGAGGGGGGTCTCATTTCGGGGGGGTTGCTCTTCCAGGCTATCTTGGAGGGCCTGTGGGGTCTGGGGACGATGTTTTGGAGGGTTCTCCCACGGGGGAGGTCTGAAATGGCTTGTCTTGGAGGGTCCAGACCCCCTCCCTTTTATTACGAAATCTGGAGTACCTTTTTTATGTGTTGTGCTACTCACTTGTGTTTTTTTTGACCAGGGGAAACTGCCTAAGGCACGAGGGGGCGCTTCTGGCCACGAGCCCCGGCTTCGAACATCGGCTCCCCGGCCTAATTAGATCCGAGGCGCGCGGCCCAACCGCCGGAGCCCGTGAAGCCCCGAGGCGGCCTTCCTTTCGGGGTCCTGACTTGTGTTTGACTACCTACCAGACCACCCCAACCCAACCCGAAGACCTCAATTTCGGGTTGGGGGGGTACGGATTCCATATGTGTTTTTTCAATGTTCCCCGACCCCCCCCCAACTGGAAATGGAGGGCAAATTGAGGCCTTCGGGTTGGGTTGGGGTGGTTTGGTGGGTGGTGAATGTTGTTCCCGTCGTACTTAACGACCACATCCCAGAACGAACGTCGCGGGCCCAGGAAAGTGTCGAAGCAGGGTCCAACGAGAACCGCCTCCCGGGGCCGGACACGTGAAAGCCATCAAAGTTCGGTACTTCCCCGGTGCTCGAAATTCTTTCTGGTGGTCAAGGCTAGAGTTAAGTCGGGCCTGTCCACCTACAGGCCGATTTTGGACAAAATACCCTCTAACTGCTCAAAAATGCTCACAAGATAGTCCCCTGACTATTTTGTTTTGACTATTTTTGAATATTCCCCCTGTAGAGGGACAGGCCCGACAGAAGGCTAGAGCAGGTTGGAGCATCAGAAGTCTTGACTGTGCCACGGGCCTTCCGCCGGCCCCTGCGGAGGACGAGAGCGAGCCGGTCGGCTCATCGCGGACGAGCGCTTCTCTGGAGTGCCCCGACTGACCAGACCTTCCACGTCGCTGTCTCGTCACGACGTGGACCTGGGAGTTCCCAACCCTGTCTCTCGCCATCGCTCGGACGTCCATCCCTCGTGCATCTTTCCGGCTCGTGCGTCTGTCTGTTCGCGAGGTGGCCCAAGATGCTCCTCGACTGTTCCTGCCGAGAAACAATACAGCCAACCCGTACAGTAAGGACGCGCGGTGCGTAATGATGCAGGGGCTTTGGAAGGCCATGTCGACACCTTGCGAGCGGGGCGCGGCCAGCGAAAGCGGCCAAGGATGGGCCGAACGGGGAGGGATGCAAGGGCAACCTTGGAAAAGTTGCTTATCCTTACCATGCGGGTTGACTGTACACACGTCCGAGCGACGCCAAGCCTCAGGGACCAGGTGTTCGTCGCGGGCCGTCCAGCCTGCAGGTCCCTGGGGCTCGACACCGCCCCGAGCGCAGAAAAAAACAAGACCCGACAACGAGGGCCACGAACCCGCCGACAAGGAGGGGAGAGGATGGACCGCCAGACTCTTGAAGCAGGCAGGCGCCGGAAGCAGCCGGGGACCTGCACCTCCAGAAAGTACATACCTTCGACGACCGGCGCGCGTCGGCTGCCGCGCGCACACCAGACCCAGGGGCTCGTGCGCCGCAGGCGATGGCCGTGCGCCGCGACGACCTGCGGCTCATGCCTCGCTGGCAGGCGGGCCACGGCGTGCCCCTCACGCCGCTCGTCGGCGAGGGCGTGGTGGCTCGCGCCGCGCTGGCCGCGGCGCTGGCATGCCCGGCCCCCCTCGGCCGCCCTCGTGTGCTCGTAGCGGTGGCCCGCCTCCGCGACGTGCTGAGGGCGGATGCGCAGAGCCTGCGATCCTCGCAGCGGTGGCAGCTCAAGCTTCTTATCACGGTTGCTTGATCGCACAGTTGACTTATCACAGCGCTGGGTATCACACTTGAGCTATTGTGTTATCGCACTGGAGCCCGGCTGCTTGTCACACTTGCGCTGTTGTGTCACACCTGAGCCGAGCACGTCTGGCCGCTCGTCCCGAGTGTTGCGCACGCGCTCTGCGAGCTCGGCCTGAAAGCTCGGAGCGAAGCGGACCTGGGCGGCCGTCTCCCTGCAGGCCTGCTCGACGTGCACGGTTTCCCCAGGGGCCGTACGCGCCCCGAGGAGGAGGAGGAGGAGGAGGAGGAGGAGGAGGAGGAGGAGGAGGAGGAGGGGGAGGAGGCGGAGGAGATAAGGAGGAGGAGGAGGAGGAGGAGGAGGAGGAGGAGGAGGAGGAGGAGAGGAGAGGAGGAGGAGGGGGGAGGAGGAGGAGGAGGAGGAGAGGATAGAGGGAGGAGGAGGAGGAGGATCAGGAGAAGGAGGAGGAGGAGAAGGAGGAGGGAGGAGGCGGAGGAGAAGGAGAGGAGGGAGGAGGAGGAGGAGGAGGAGGGAGGAGGAGGAGGAGGAGGTGAGAGGAGGAGGAGGAGGAGAGGAGTGAGGAGGAGGAGGAGTAGGTGGAGGGAGGAGGAGGAGAGGAGGAGGAGGAGGAGGAGGGATGGAGAGGAGGAGGAGGAGGGAGGAGGAGGAGGAGGAGGAGGAGAGGAGGGGAGGCAGGAGGAGGAGGAGGAGGAGCAGGAGGAGGGGAGGAGGGAGGAGGGGGAAGGAGGAGGAGGAGTAGAGGAGGAGGAGGAGGAGGAGGAGAGGAGGAGGGGAGGAGCGTGTCCGAGCGGGGGGCCTTCCACCTTCTCGAGCTCGCAGAGGCCTCCCAGATGAGGTCGGAATAGATGGCGTCGAAGGATCGCGCCGCATCGCCGATGCATCGCCGATGCATCGGCGATGCACTGGCGACGTCGGCGATGCATTGGCGCCGTCGGTGTGGCGAAAGTCAGGCTCCGCATCGAGCCGCATCGCCGATGCATCGGCGATGCAGCGCGATCCTTCGACCCCATCTACTCCGACCCCATCTGGGAGGCCTAGAGCTCGGTGCCGCTGGGCCCTGGGCTCGGGGTCGACGTCATCAAGCTTGAGCCAGATGCCCAGGCCCCCTCGCGCCGTGCGAAGCAAAACCCCGCCGGG